GACAAGGGGAGGCAAAGGGAGACAATACCAAAATCATCTCAGCCCAGCATCCAAACACGCCATGGGAGACAAGGGGAGACAAAGGGGGGGAATCATCTTGGCCCAGCATCGTTTCTATGCAAGAATTGAAAACCCCTCACAGCAAAGCTGTTTGGGGAAATACACCATCATTCCCAGGTTAGGGGATTCACCCAGTTCGGGAACGTAAAAGAACAACAGGCGTTCTATAATGTTCATTATATATATATACCCTAGACTTCCAAGACCATTATAAAAATGGTTGACCTTGTTTTTGAAATGACAAATCCTTAGTTGATTCGGTAAAGCCTATTAAATGAATGATTGTTGGAAACCTTATAGGGTATATATAATGTTAACGAACGAGTCGTCGAAAGGTCCAGGTCCTCCCGGAACGTGATGCGGACCGCGCCGCGACTGCTTTCCTCTTCCTCTTCCGCGGGCGTCGGCGAGTCGCGTGGCGTGGGTGAAGCCCAGGTGCTGATGATCGATCTCTTCTTCGTTCTTGGCCAAGGGCTGCTTGAGCTCATCCCTTTGCGCGCTGGAAACGTCGAAGCTCGCGGACCTGAAAATTGACGGCGGCATGGATGGGCATTGGAGGCGGAGGCGGACCGGGCAGGGGTTGGGTCTGGGAAGAAAAAAGGCAGCCTTCGAATCAGAACGGAATGGAAACCACATAGCCACAGGAATCACATGTCTTAACGACGACGAGCAAAGTGTTTTGTAACTACGTAGGTAGCAGCAATGAGTTTAGTTTTGTCAAACAGTTGGAGGACCCCAGCGGAAGCGTTCGTGCTCAGTTGAAAGCGATGGTACCAGGGAGGCATAAGGAAACTACGACACTTGCGAGTGAACAGATCAACTACTAGTGGCCTCATGGGCCAGCCTCATAGGAGAACACAGTTAGAAATGATAACAAGTTCACTTGACATATATGCAGCATTATATTGATACATCTTACGGTCACCAATGGGTCTGTGGACTTGCAGCATCCCGGAGGCTAGTGAACCAAAAAGAGTCTAACTTTGCATGTTTCAGTTCCACAGTGCGGATGCGCATTCACTCATGCTCGACCTCCATACCCCTTCATCCTGTTGAAGCTCCACACCCGCCCTTCCGATCCACACGCGAAACCGAGGCGGGCGGAATGCCACGGCACTCCTTCTCAAGTTCAAAGGCCCCTGCAGAGCTGATTGGAGCTTCTGGGAAGGTCTGGCGTCCATGGTTTTAGGTGCGGTGAATCACTGCGTTCCCTATACAAGGAGCCGGAGTTGGCATTTGGGATGCCGTGATTGATGCTGATTATGGTCCTTTGATCCCTACTATTATGAATTCATGAACAACCTCCTTTAATGTGTGTACACATTAAACAAAAAAAAACACACACAAACATATATATTAACAGCCCGGCCGGAACGGAAAGAACCCCCCCAAAAGACCTGCACTCCGTCTTCACCGCGGTGTTCCACCACCTCGTCTCCACCGCGGTGTTCCACGTGTCCCACCACTCACCACCGGTCGCGTACGTTCGCCTCTGGTCTTCACGGACACGTCGCCCAGCGCCAAGAGGTAGATCTCCTGCGAGGTGAAGAGAGTTTCTCTCCAAGGACAGTAGTAGAGTTCTGGGTGAATCGGGGTGTCCGTGGGATCAGTACGGGTCTCCACAAAAAAGAGTCCACCGGGTACCAACACAGTGTCCGACGCTTATTGTATAATAAAGGTGCCAGGAGGGGCCAGAGTTGTAGCGCGTCTGTGAAGATATATGTGGTTTCCCTATAGGGAAGGTAGAAAGTGCGAAGATATGTGAGCTTCCAGGGTTGTATTTCAATGTTCTATGATATAAATTCTTCACAGGAGTGTAATCAGAGAATTTAGAACGGCGGAATTTCCTTACAAACCTGCAAGTCTTCGTTTAGTGTCCACCGCTTCTCCTGCACCAAGATCAATCAACGCGTCAGCTGTGCAAATAAAAAGAAAATACCCAAACTCTCAATGCAGCGGGGCTAGCTCGATGGCGCTAAACACGATTTACATTGGAAGTCCCTAGAACTAAAAAACCAACACAAAAGTGTGAGTTCATACTAAACCATGTTTAGATATGTTTTTGAATGGCTTGGGTCATGAGTCATGGCTTGTGGTCCATTCAACCTCACGTTCTTGTTGCAATCGGCATCTCTTCGGTCGGCGTCCACCGTCCGGTGTCCACCCTCCGGGACTTTAAAGCTGAAACGAGGCAAAGTGGCCGTAGCTGCATGAAGCTACATAGCTGCGTAGTCATATACCAAGAGAGCTTCAGTGACCTATCAAAAGGACCCGGTCGACACTGGGGATAGTCCACTGGGATCCACTGGGA